GATTTTAGGGGGCATCTCAAGGTTTTATTATAGACTTGCCTTTTTGCTAAGTGACAGTGTTGGAACTCAGCAGGATCAAGTACTGAAAAATCATAAGCCTTGGGGTTTAGACATGAGCTCTGCCGCTTCTATCCCTGGTGAAGTAGGCAGCTTTGGGTAAATTAATCTCTGAGTCTCAGTCTACTCTCTGTGAAAATTAAATTGATAATACCTCATTTGCTGACCTGCTAAAGAGAGCTAATGCAGTTGATGTGAGAGCAGCCTGGCACACGGCAATCAGGCAATAACTGGGGGGACAGGTGTCATGGAAGCCATTGACTGGAGGTCTAATTTCATACAGTGGCACTGCCACTGAGTGGACTCTGAGATTCATGTACTTTAAGACTTCAAGATGTTGCATTTTAAGAACTCCTGACACATGTGATACCATCTCTTTGCTTGTTCCTTCCATGCTGTAAAAAATTAAGCAAAGGCCTGATTTGCTGTATTACACACATGCATCAGAACTGAGAAACAGTCTTTGTTGAAGAAAAAAAGAAAACAGTAATACCTACATTCTCAACAGTGTTTTACAGAACTTCACAATAGCTCTGTGGGATAAGAGATCCACGGAGAGTGCTATAGTATTCCCAAATTTCCACCAAGACTTGGTTTCTAGCCTCTTACTCTCTACTCAACACTAATCCATATTTACATCACTTAAGCTAGTAACTTCTCCCACCACCTCTCCCTCACCCTGTTTATGCCCTCTCTCTGCACTCTCTTGATGATGATAATGACGATAATGATCCTAATTTCTCCGTAGTGTCTCTACATGTTCAGAGAGAAAAGGGAAGAGATCCCCATCAGACAATAGGCCATTTGGGACAAGAAGTTATGAAGAAGATGTGTTTATAGAGAAGAAAACATTCCCCTGATCCCTCTGACCCCTACTCCCAGCCCAGCCCCAGAAAGGAGCTCACCTCTGACCCTGTCAATAAAGGAACAAAGCCACCTGCTTCTATCCACCTACCTGCTTCTAATTACAGCCTATGGTCAGGGCTATATCCACACAAGTAAACAATGAAGTAAAATGGTAACATAGTGACTGGAAAGGAAACAGGAGCATCCACTCCCAAACCTTCTGGTGGTCGTGGTTGACAAGAGCCGGTGTAAGAGGAATTAGAGTCTGGATAGACAGCGGGGATAGGGTATATAAACAAACCTGTCTTAGGACCTGAACAGCACTTAAAGCAGATCTTAACAGCTTAGTGTCCTATCTCCTAGGACAAAGGAAAAATGATCCCGTTTAAGTGATGAGTATGTAAACATAAACCTTATTACCTATCCTAAGCAGGCTCAGGGGAAGGCTGGGACTCAATTCTATCTGGAAGTAGCCACTGAAAGCAATGGAGCCCTGAGAAGAATGGGAAGTATAATGCCTGGAAGTACACCAGAGAGCAAGCACTGCTCAGTCTCAACGTACACGGAACCACAGAAATAGCTTCTTCCCCAAATCATCCAGACAAGGGATCAGGCTTTGCCTCAGAAGTACAGGAAGACAAACAGGGGCAATCTAACCTACTTAGTGTTCCTGCGGAGAGGAGCACGTAGCATAGCTGGCAACCCCAGGTTCATGATCGAAGCACAGGCCCTGAGGTGGACAAGGGGCAGTATTCGGGTCAGTTCAGCAAACCCACACTGAGTAGCCCCCAGGTACCACACACTGGCAGAGGGTGCAGCCTCCCATCCTTGAAGAGCTTGGAACTGAGTCAACTCTCTGCTTTGACAGCATCTTTCTATTATACCAAAATTTAAATGCATCACGGCTTCAGGGAAGGAGCAAAGATAAACCACAGATTTTACTAAGTACAGGCAAGGAACCAGAGGCCTTAGGAGATTGATAAATGTGTCACACACTTGAGCATGCGCGCGCGCACACACACACACTCTCAGGCCCTGCTCAGCACAGAAGGCTATTCCTCCAATGCAGCCCCTTTCACGAGTCCAAAAAGAACTCTTTCTATCTAGGTTCATCTGCAGCATAGTCCTAGAAGATCAAAGTACATCAGTAAAGGCAGAAAAGAGGCTTGGAGCTAACAGAGGCCAATGAGGATCTCTTAAGTCTCAGCTTTATCGCTGTCACTTCTCACTCTGTATCAGAACTTGTTTGCAAAGCTCTCTTCTGGACACATAGTAGGTATTCAATGAATCTTTCCTAAGCTGTAAAGACCTGCTTCCAAGATTTTTTCCAAGTCTATTTGGTTCTTGGAATTTGCTCTGATGAACTCCCAAAGGTGTTCTCACTGCAAAGCAGAGCTCCCTTGAACTGGGGAAGGTGGTGCTTGAGTGTCTGATATCCCTGTTCCTACCTCCAACCAGGATGTGGTTCTTATTCAGTGGAGGCGGCGGGCAGGACGCAGGTCTTTCCTGTTGTAGCATCCAACAGCATGAAGTGGGTAGGGGTAGGCTTGCCAAGGAGGGGGTAGGGAAGAAAATGTGAGAGGTAGGCACCTGAGGAAACTCTTCTGTTCAATGCATTTCCCTAGCATCTGCTGTGTGTCAGGCAGTGGTTAGGAACCCAGCTCTTGTTCCCCTAGGGAGTTCTGCACTTCCCCTGTGGAGGTACCATCACACTGTTTTTGGCCTGCCTGGTTACTAGATCAAAGGCTACAGGAATCAGGAATGGTGAGGCTATTCACAAGGGCATTATCAGCATCTAAAACAGTTCTAGGTACTCAGCAAATACCTGTTGAGTGAGCCAATAACAACCTGAGGCACAAAGATGAAGGTCAGGGCAGACAGAAAAAAGAACTATAGTCATCTAGTCAAGGAGGGAGCTTTTCCTTAGAAGCTGGCCACTTAGGAAGCTCTGTGGTTGAAAAGACTTTGATTTACTTTGTTAGGTGAAATAATCACCACTAACTCCAATTAAGCTGTCACCTGCAATCATTTCTGTGTCCCTTCCTCCTGATGATTAAACAACCAATGGTACCAGGCCCATACCTACACCCTTCACGTGACTCAAAGCTGGTCTCGGGTTCTGTGACCCAGAATGAATGAGGAACAGGCTGCTGCTTCTAGGTCTATCTGGATCTAGGGTTGACTCAAGCAAATGCTGGGCAAAATCAGCCCCAAACCCCAAAACACCAACACACACACCATCCCCTAACAGGCTCATGCATGCTGACAGGCAATTTGAAGCATTCTCATGAAAAGCTAAGCCTTGGGGCCAAACTGAAGTCAGGACCAAGATGGGAGATCAGGAGCTAGGGCTCTTCAGTTGGCATCTGACGGCACAGTGACATGAACAAGATCTCTCCTAGACCTTCCTGCAAGCCAGAAACCCTTCCCCTGAACTTAGAAGGAACCACTTTGATGTAGGACAACAAAATCTATCACACACAGGGATAGTGGAAGAAAAAAAAAGAAATTAGGTTAGTAATTCATCTAGAATTATGACTGGTACATAGTAGGCTCGATACAGGACAGCAACTTATTAAATTTTCATAATTCCCTTCAGGGTTACTTTTAGGAATACTTTCATTAGTCTGATCATTGTTGCAGGTTTATTCCTAGTATTTCAACAAGAGACCTTAGAATAGGTAGTTATCTCGGGCGCCAGACACCCCCACCTGTGCTCTCTGGGCATGTGCATTCACCTCTAAGACAGACCCACAGGCACATACGCGTGCATGCACATGTGCTCACACAGCAAACAGCTCCAGCTGCTCAGTATGCTTTAGAAGCATGACAGTTTACTTTCTTTCCCATCTGACCTCATGCAAACCCACTTTCTTCACCACCTCCCTGACCCCCTGCCAAATACACATAGTTAGTCCACAGCCCACCCCCACTCTCTCAATTACAGAGCTCTTTCAAACCACTGAAAACTTAAAATAAATACCAATTTGGAGACCTGAAGCATGCTCTGGTCCATCTGTGTGCCGGCCCCTACCTTCTGCTGGAAGCCCCCAACCCCATCTCTGGTCAGCCCTCCCCAACTTGTAAAGCACAGTGGCCTTGGTGCAGGGCTGGCACACGCAGAGAAAACAAACATGGAGTCATGCCAGCTGGGTCAGGCACCACTATTTATAGCAGGAGCAAAGCGTGGGGAATTGGAGAAACGTGGTGAAGGGTCAGGAGCAGCGGGGGTGGGGATAATTCTAACCTGCTGTTCGAGGGCTCCAACAGCTGCAGAGAGGATCCCCTGCCGAAGCGCCGCCATTCCCAGGTGCAAGCCATCCTGGGATGACTAATAACCATTGCTGCGCAGAAGGGAAACTGAACACCTCTGAGGCAGAGCGCCTGCTAGCTTGCTCATTTTTGTATCCCCAGCATCAATCACAATGCTTGCACATAGGAGCAGCGCAATAAGTATCTGATGATTAAATGAAGAGACGAGCTCTTCTCTTCCTGACTACCCCCATAGGATTATGCCACAGACGGCTGAGAATAATGGGTAGAGGGGAGGTTAGTGAGGAATGCCTAAAATGGCTCTTTAAAAACCTAGTGGTTGTAAAAGTGCGACAGCAAAAATAACTGAGGGAAATGTTATGTTGAGAAAAACAAGTTCAGTTTCTTTACTGCAGGCCTTTTCAGAGCCTTTAATATGCTGTTATGCACCGTGAATCACCAAGAGGGGGACAGAATATGCACTGAAGTCTAAATTCACTTAACCACAGGCCTGGACTTACTTGACCACAAGCCTGGACTTATTTGACCACACTACACTTTTTCCTCAGAGTACCATTAGTGAGGAGAATTTCATCAAATACACTTTGGGAAATGTTGGCCTAAGAGGTTCCTGGAAACTATCCCAAAAGCAACTTGTAAGACAGCGTGATTCCATTTTAGTAATTTAAAAAATTGCATATGATGTGTGGCATATACTTATTCGGAGGCCACAAGACACGTAAATGTTAACATCATTTATCTCTAAAGATTAGGGGATTTGTACTTTTTACATTAAAAACTTCAGAAATAGGGATCCCTGGGTGGCGCAGCGGTTTAGCACCTGCCTTTGGCCCGGGGCGCGATCCTGGAGACTCGGGATCGAATCCCACATCGGGCTCCCGGTGCATGGAGCCTGCTTCTCCCTCTGCCTGTGTCTCTGCCTCTCTCTCTCACTGTGTGCCTATCATAAAAAAAAAAAAAAAAAAAAAAAAAAAAAAAAACCTTCAGAAATATTCAAAGTGGTTTGATATGTAGTTATCACTTTTATAATTAAAAAGACAAATTTTTTAAAAAGCAACCTCCAAATAGCATGTCATCACTGTTCTTTTATCTTCCCATAGGCCTCAGGACCTCATTTCCCCACAACCCTGTGGACCAATAAAAAGGCTGTTCTTTGCTCCATTATCATATCCAAAGAGATTCCTGTGTCTGTCTGTTAACATTCAGAAACTTAGGCTTGTAAGGAACACCTCTCATTCCAGGATCTGCTGCTTCCATACAATATGGACAAGTGTTACGGGAAAAGTAAACATATTTAATACTCTGTTAACCTTTACAAATCTGAAATTACTTTGTTTAGTAAATTGTACGAAGTACCCATTTAGAAGTTAGTTTGCTGAAATTATCATGTTGGGCATATGAACATTTAAAGACTGCCTTTTTCCCTAACTTGCTTATTTCCTAATTTAACTGATTTGCAAATGTAATTAAAAGTCGTTGGGACACCTGGGTGGCTGAGTGGTTGAGCGTCTGCCTTTGGCTCAGGCCGTGATCCTGGAGACCCGGGATCGAGTCCCACGTCAGGCTCCCTGCATGGAGCCTGCTTCTCCCTCTGCCTGTGTCTCTGTCTCTGTCTCTCTCTCTCTCTTTCTCTTTCTCTGGGTCTCTCATAAATAAATAACATCTTTAAAAAAAAAGTCATTGAGATTTAGTAAATACACCAAATTTTGTTGCAATATGGGATTAAGGAAGATACTTAGAAGAAATCAATCTTAGTATAAATCAAAGTACCTGACCATTTGTTGAGCTACTATGTGTGAGATAATGTGCATGCATTGTTGTCTAACCTCTAAACAAGGCTATGAAGCAGGTGGTATAGTCATCCCCGTTTACAGATGCACCAATTGAGGCTCAGAGAGATTAAGCATCTTGCTCAAGTAAAGAGTCCAAAGCCAGGGCTTTTCTGCTTGCCCTGACTGTTGGTCCTGATGTCCTTGGTCACTTCAAACAGATATACAATGACCTGCTTTCCAAAGGAGGAACTATGAAAGGCTGAAAAAACCAGAGTCAGTCTGAGTTAGAGTCATGGACTAGCTATCATGTTTTGGGAGGGACTGGTTTGGCAGGTCCCACAATGCATTCTGCATTCAAACTCCTAAAGATGTGTTGTCCCAAACGCCACTGAGAGTCAGTCCTGATGTCTGAGAGCTCAAATCCCATTCAAAAGTTGGCAGCAGTGTTTTGAGTCTGGATCCAAGTTATATGCACCAGCATGTTAGCAAGAGACAATAAAATTCTTCCATTTCCTAACCTGGCTTCTTTCTCATCTTCCTTCTGTTCTTACACAAGCATTAGATTGAAGGTTGCCAACTCCGGCTGCACAGAAGAATCATCTGGGGACACTAAAACAGACCAATACCTGGGCAGCACCTCAGACAAGTATAAACCCCAGTTCAGAGGTGGAGTCAAGGCATCATTATTTCAAAACTCTTCCCTGGAAACAGCCAAGCTTGGGAACCACTGGGCATCTCTGCCATGGATTTGAGGCCCATTTTGATAAAGAAGGTCTATCAGAAATCCCTTGGCTACACTGGATGCCATGGCTGGGATTGAGAATTCTGTATAAAAATGTTCCCTACTAAATTATTTTAAGGAAACTCTTGTAATTTTTAATGCTAAAACCTTTTTTTTTTAATTCCAAAAGTTGGACTATCTTTAAAGAATAAAAACATTTTCTTAAAGCTTCTCTCACACTTCCTTATTTTCTGGACTTTCAGATTCCTAGTTTTCTTCTCTTCACACAGAAAGAAAAACCCAAAGGGAGGCCACCACTGCAAAAAGTGCCCACTTTGGGGGTCAAGTTAGCCTCGGCAGTAGAAAAGGAGATTCAAACAGGTACTTGGGCCACAGGTCCTTGTCAGACTGGGGCCATCACTACTACTTCTGGGGCCTGGGAGGTTAGCAGAAGACAGGAAGTTTTTCAAGCACATGCACATTTTAGTGTTTGCACATCCAAAACCTAAAATGGCAGCAATGAGTCCCTTAACAAAGGCAGGACAGTCTCCAGAGGCTCTTAGATCACCAGGAAGTGGGACAGGTGTTGACCATCCAGGGTCCCCACATCACCATACTGGACACCATACTGGACCAGAGGGCTTTGGTTCCACTGGAACGGTCTTTTTGATGCCCCAAAGGGTTAACAGCTTAACCGCTAGCTTCAGGCATTCCCCAAAGAGGTCCATTTTCAGTTCGGTCCCTACCAGGAAAGGAGACAGCTCCCCACCCATGCCTCAGAGACTTGGTCTCTACCCCAGCCCTTCCCCCTCCATGGCCCGCCCACTCCAGGAATGAAGCTGCTGCTGCCCAACATATACCCAGACTGGTTTCATCTCCTTCCAAATCCATTTTGTGTCTTAACTTCTGCCAAGAATAAAAATTAAAACACTAACACACACATCATGCATGTACGGGAGGAGAGGACAGGGCTGGAAGTTAAATTGAAAAAGACCAGGCAGGGAGTGGGCAGGGCAGGTCACTGATGAAAGTCAGGGCTTGGAGACTTTGGCTGGGGTCCGTTGTGGGCCTTGGCCCACCTTGCCTGAGGCCCCTGCTGGCTACACACAGGGTGGAATCTGAGGGGAAGTGTTTGCAGCATCTGCCCTCATGTTCCTCCAAAACCCCATTTCATATCCTTTAACATCCCCAGCCCTGCCCCAGAGCGGCACAGAGTAGCAGAGCTGCCCAGCACTGCAAAGGCTGGAAGCGGACTCCCTTCCCCATGCTCCAAGGAGCCTTGTTCCTTGCCAACACCACAGTGAATAAAATAGCACTTGGAATGACACGCAGGCCTGGTGGTGCAGGCGGCTTGTGGGTTGTCTGTGGCCACCCAGAGAAACGGGTCTGGGGCTGGAGCCTCATTCTCAAAATCTGCTCCACCACACCCACAGCCTGCAGGCTCCAGAATCTGGGGGCCAGGCAGATAGCAGCCCCAGTCCCACCCTCTTTTGTTCTCTCTTGCTGCAGAAATTTTCTTCTCCTCTTTCTAGTCAACAGCAGGAGCCCCTGTACACTAGAATAATAAAGGCTAACCCTTCATGCATTCAGGATCCCCCAGGGTTCTGAGAATCACCTCCTGCCCAATTCTGAATCCCACTAGCTGCCCATTTTGGGTGAACTACTCCCCAAATGGTGAACTAAGTGCTCGCGTGATTTGCACCTGTCCAGATGGAACCCGCCCTGTCTCATAGAATCACCTGCCTTACAAGTCAGTCAATGCTTATTGAACACCCACTTAATACGAGGTCTTCAGAATCCAAAGACAAAGTTCACGCTTTCTCCAAGAGTTCAGCATCTGGTAGGGAGGAATGCAAAAACATCTCAGAGCACCGTGCAACAACTGGGAATCAAACTCAAGTGCCCCAGGCTGGTAGTCTTTCCTGTCTATGCTACTGTGCAGATGGTGGGGAGGTTGGATCACACACGTCTTTTGGAAAGAGCAACCTGTGGCATCCATCCTTGTCCCATCTGGCATACAGTAATGAAAACAAATTGATATTAAAAAGCAAAACAACACACACTTTGTCCTGATAACTCTTGAATCTGGGTGATGGGTAGGTTGGGGTCATGATACTATTCTTTCTACATCTGCATATTAGGGTTTTTAAATAAACAATAATAAAACTTGGGTGTTTTTTTGTTGTTGTTTTGCCTTTTTCCCAAAGGATAACTAGACATCTCAAACCTTCCCAATCCCATACTAACTTCCAGAAAATACTACCACCACAATCACCACCACCCATTCACCCACATACCCAATGTCCTCTCAGTTAAGTCAAACAGCATTTTCAAAAGCAGGCTTCAGTGAGTGCCCCGTTTCTGGTGGGGAAGGGGTGTTCTCTTTGACCTTGAAAAGCTCCCTGGTATTGGGCCCAAGAGGCAGCCCCATCTCAAAGGGGACTGCTGGCCACAGCCAGAGGGAACCTACAAAGCTACCCTCCTAGCTCTCTGGTGCTGGGACCCAGAGCTGGTTGGCAGCCGCCCATGCCCTCTGTTTCCTTTTTGGAGCTTCTGTGTCCAGGATGGGCCTTCCCCAGGGCCCGGAGCATATCTCACCAATAGCAAGCCCCCAGCTTCTCTATCTGACTTTCCTCTGACTGCAGAACCTACCCAGTGCAGAAGCCCTGAGGTCCAGGTGAAAGACCAGCAAGCAAACGGGCTTGGACTTCTGAATCTATCATTTTTCTCTAGGCTTTCATTTCTCTACTATAAAATTCCCAACATAGGCAGCCCAGGTGGCTCAGCGGTTTAGCGCCGCCTTCAGCCCAGGGCGTGATCCTGGAGACCCAGGATTGAGTTCCACATCGGGCTTCCTGCATGGAGCCTGCTTCTCCCTCTGCCTGTGTCTCTGCCTCTCTCTCTGTGTGTCTCTCGTGAATAAATAAATTTTAAAAAATTCCCAACACACCATAATTGACAAAACTATTTTTAAATAGCCAAGTGCTCCAAGAATAGGAAAGAATTCTAACTCGCAGGTTATTTCAAGCCAAATTAACAAGGATGATAATGGTGAGCATTTAGCACCTACTCAGAGAGCACTTTTCTAATGAGAGAATGTGGATAATGCAATTCATTGTGAACTAACCTCTTGTTTGGACTTCAGAGATAGTCATAATCTGGCTAGAAGTGTCTTGTGGGCAGCATGGAACAGTGCTCAGTAGTGTGTTGACTGACCAACTGAAAGGCCACTATTTCACAGTTTTGAATGTGTTTGGGGGCCTATGCCTGATGAAGCATGAACAGCAAAGCTCTCAAGCAAGAGTTACTGCTGGCTACTTGGAAGGAAACCATAAGTGACTCAAGAGGGGCAGTTTGTGGCCCTCATGAATCTCAAAGGGTGGCATTCTTTACACTAGCGAGACAGGTCAGAACCCTCATCCTCGGACAGGGATACACACCCGTGTT